GATATAAGGGAATCTGGGGTGCTATTCAGGGAACCAGCCTGTACCCTTTGAAATCCCACAAGCACTGCAGAGTGACAGCGTCTCTACTTCTCCCCATTACTACAGCCAACTAGCCCCTTCCAGCAGAGATAATGTGTCTGGTGCTGTCCAGAGAAAGACTCTGTGGCCTTCACAATGCCCCAGACGGACAGCCATGTTGCAGGCTGCTTTTTTTCTTATTACTAAAACAAAATAGAAAAAAAATTGTGTTTCAGGAAATAATCTAGAGTTATTATTACCATTATTGTTCGTGGTAGGATAATATAAAAATGAATTCTTAACCAAAATAGACCTAATATAGTTCCATATCCTAGTAGCAAAGTTTGTTATGGAAACCTAGTTAAAAGATGTATAGCTGAGTGTTGTGGCTCACGCCTGTAATCCCAACACATGGGAGGTAGAGGTGAGAGGATTGCCTGAGCCCAGGGGTTCGAGACAAACCTGGGCAACTTGGCAAGACCTTGACTCTACAATAAACAAATAAATAAAATTAGCCAGGTGTGGTGGCTTGCACCTATAGTCCTAGCTACTTGGAAGGCTAGCTACTTGGAAGAATCACCTGAGCCTAGCAGGTTGAGGCTGTGGTGGCCGTGAACATGCCACTGCATTCCAACCTGGGCGACAGTGAGAATCTGACTCAAAAAAGAAAAAGTATAGTAATGAACTTTGTATATAATCTGTTTCAATCAGCTCCAGCATTTGTTAAGATCATTTTGAAAATTGTTTTGTAGAAAATAAATTATGCGTTTTCAGCAGAGGGGACAGCCTCACTGTTAACTTTAAGTAGCCTAAGACTCAAAGGAATTCCTCTCTTAGAACCTTTCTATGGAAACAGGTTATAAGTTAGCATAAACACAGAGCAGTATAATGCTTTCCAAGACAGCTAGATTTAAGAATTACCCTTAAGACTACATTTGAGAAGAGATAGGGACCTTTGCAATAGAATTGCCTGATACCATATTCTGTGTGGCATGTTTCACTTAAAGCAAGCTGGTTTTTGGCTTGTTTGTCTTATATGCTTTGACACAATCAGCAGATGAAGATTGAATAGATAGAGCTCCTCCTGGAAACACCTTCCCTGGTGAGGCCTAAATGAGACCGTGCAAGGCTACTGCTCAACGTGCCTCAGCAGTGTCCAGAGCACAGGAGCACAACCTCTCGTGGTATCAGCAGGTATTCTTTAATAAGCACTCTAAGTAGCTCCGCATTAAAAAAAAAAAAAATACTGTTTGTGGCTTGGTGCAGTGGCTCACAACCTGTAATCCCAGCACTTTGGGACGCCGGGGTGGGAAGATTGCTTGAGCTCAGGAGTACTATACCAACCTGGGCTATATGGCAGGACCTCATCTCTACAAAAAAAAATTCAAAAAATTAGTCGCATGTGGTGATGCGCACCTATAGTCCCAGCTACTCTGGAGGCTGAGGCGGAAGGATTGCCTGAGCCCAGAAGGTCAAGGCTGCAGTGAGCCATGATTATGCCACTGCCCTCCAACCTGGGCAACAGAGTGAGACCTTGACAAAAAAAAAAAAAAATACTGTTTGAAAGTAACTAAACCAGGGTAAAAAGACAGAAACCTCAGGCAGTACAGGGAGTACTTTGGAAAAATGTATTTAACCTTAGTTAACTACATTAGCTATAATTTGCTAGAATAACTCATTTAATCATTTAAGTAATCCAGTCACAGGCCATCATGGAACTTACAGGATAGGTAGAATAAAATATTATGATAAAGCTAAATTTTTAATTTTTTTGGTTTTTGGGGGAGTTTTTGTTTTGTTTTGTTTTTTGAGTTGGAGTCTTACTCCATAGCCCAGAATGGAGTGCAGTGGCACACTCACAGCTACTGTAGCCTCTACCTGCTGGGCTCAGGTGATCCTTCCACCTCAGCCTTCCAAATAGCTGGAACTGCAGTCACGCACCACCATGCCCGGCTAGTTTTTTTATTTATTGTAGAGATGAGATCTCGCCAAGTTGCCCAAGCTGGTCTTGAACCTGTGGGCTCAGGCTCTCACCTCACCCTCCCAAAGTGCTGGGATTATAGACATGAGCCACTGCGCCTGGCCTGATAAAGCTAACTTTTAAGCACTCTGTGTAGCCTCTAATAGGTGGAGATGGGGAATGGAAATAATGCTTTAATTCATGTATGGGAGCGTATTGACTTGGCTCTCGCCAATTTCTTTCCCATTTCTATTCATCTGGACTGTATTCCTCCTGATATTGTGATGCTGTTTCTCGATAGCTGCAGCTTTTCTCTTTTCTTCACCTTTGCACCTTAAATATTGGCTTCCACCTGCATTCTTTCATTCTCCTTGGGCAACTTCATTTCTGGTTCTTTGCAGCAAATCACTTACAACTCCCAGCTTGAACCTCTCTCTTCTGAGCCCGTATTCCCAGGTATCTCCTAAACATCTCCATCTGAATAAGTGTGCAACATTTGAATTTAGCAGAACCCATCTGAACTCATTTTATTTCTCAAATCTTTTACATCTATTTTATCTCTTGGTTAATGACTAGCAACCACCCAGTAGTCTAAGCCAGTCATGCTGTCATCACTTTTCACTTTCAACCCATCACAGCTAACTAATTATTAAGTTATAAAATTTCTGCTTTAAGGTATTTTGAATTTGTTTCCACCTCTCCATTACCACTGCCATCACCTCAGTTCACATTTTCCACATTTGAGAGCCTCTTTAATCTTCTCTGAAACTGGCTTTTCTTTTGTAACTCATTTATACAGTAGCTAGAGAAGTCCTTTATAAATGCACAATTGTGTCACTTTCCTTAAAACCTTTAGTGGCTTCATCCTGTCTGCCATTTGTTACAATCCCAAGTATCTACAGGAATTATTTAAGTAATGTATATGAGTGAAGTGGACCAGTGTGAGACAATAAGGAAGAATAGAAGAGTGCATTTCTGTCTAATGAGATTTATAGTCAGAAATGTTTAAAAACATATGACAAGCCTATCTGAGAGTTTAATGTTGCCTGTGGGTTTCCATTTAGTACAGCCAAGTCTAAACTACTGAACATAACGTATGCAGTCTCTTTGATACTGGATATCCCTTGAGATGGCAACTTGGAACTCTCAGCTTGTCACAACCAGTGAGTCGGGGTTTGCTGTTTTGTTTCTAGGTCAAAACATGTCAGCATAAAGAGTATGTGTTTATTTTTTTAAGTACCTCTGTATTTGTTTTGGAGGCATAATGAAAAGTTTGTAGACTCTGGAGTCAGTGTTGACCTAAATTCAGTTCTTAGTTCTGCTACAGATTAACTGTGTGATTTTAAGCTAGTCATTTAACTGCTTTGAGCTCCAGTTTCCTTCTCTGCTGAAAAATAAAGAAATAAAAACTTTCAGGATTGAGACTATAAAATCAAATAATAAACAGCTTGAAATTATCTTGCTCAATTCTTGGTACGTAGTAACTCCTCCAGAGAAGATAACATTCAAACAGGTAGGAAAAACTTGAGAAGTGGCAATAAATATACAAAAATCAAATTCATCTGTGTGCATCCTTCCCAACAATTGTAGTTATGGCCTGAAGAAGAACAAATCTGCAGGAAACCAGTTATCAAGTGAGGCAAACACTTGGAAACAGGCATGTGATTCATACAGTCAACTAAAAACCAGGAATTGCTAATCTTGCTGAATAACTACCTGAAAATGGAATTTAAGCCCAGAAAGTGTTTCCATTGACAAATTTATGAGCAAATGGGAATATAGATGCTCTACAATTTGCGTTTTATGTACAAAGTTCATTTTTACTATTTTGTCTACATATGATCTTTACTTTTTTAGTTAAAATGATATTAACTGAAATTTTAATTCAGTGGTTTTAGGATACATAGGATATCTATTTTGGTTTATTCTCTAGGGCTATATAAATCTGAGGCACCAAAGGAAGTAAGTAAACAGCTTAGTTTTCTTTACCAGAACATATAGCACGGTAAGGGAGGAGGGCTGTTAAGTTTATGTTTTATTCCAATGTACAAAGTATATTCATTATATTTTGATTGATCTAGGAACACTAATGAAGCCTTGAAGAGTTTTTATCATTTACTTAAGGGAAAGAAAATATACCATCTTGTCAAGCTTTGTAAATTTTTTTTCATTTTGTTTTTTAAACTTCAGCTTAATTTTTGTATTTAGGTATACTGAGTAATTTGTATACAACTGAAATACCATACCACATCATAGAGTTGAGTAGTTTATAGTATACTTTTCTGCTTTACCAAAAGCTATAGTGATAGTGAGTAAACTAATATAAGAAAACAGCTTGTATTATCCTTGTTGGCAGAATGGCATGCACAGAACTCCTGATTGAATTTACAGTAGAGGGACTTAAAAGAGCAAAGTAGAAAACTAGTTTGTTGTAAGGGCAAGACAGAGACTTAGGGTCTTAGCTTCTTTCTTAGCAGCAGTATATCTCACCCCAGAGATTTTCTTACCCAAATAAATAATACAAACAACAGAGAAACAACATTAATACTATACAACCAAGAGGATAGTGTCTAAGAAAGCAAAGCTGAAATATTTAAGAAAAGGAGTGTTAATGTTGCCTGTGGGTTTCTATTTAGTATGGCCAAGCCTAAACTACTGAACATAACATATGCATTCTCTTTAATACTGGGTATTTCCTTGAGATATACAACTTGGAACTCTCAGCTTTCACAGAGACTGTCACAACCAGTCAGTCGGGTTTTGTTGCTTTGTTTCTAGGTCAAAACACAAAGATAAACAAGTGCTGTCATTCTTGATCATAGGAAAATTCTCTTTTGGTTTTAAGGAGCATTCCTAAAAGATTGATCTCAATAAACGTAGTCTCATTTTGTGACCTTGATATTACGTTTTAGTGTTTCGCCATTTGTTTTTCTTAAGGGAAGAACTCATTTTTAGTCAATGTCTTCTAGATATTTTTATTTTTCCTCCCTCCCTTACTCTTCCTCTCCCTTTCTACTTGCAGCTCCTCAGAGAAATTTTGAAATTGCTTTCAAGATGTTTGACTTGAATGGAGATGGAGAAGTAGACATGGAGGAGTTTGAACAGGCAAGTTGTCCTGAAGAGTTCCTTTCGATACATTAATATTTATTTATCTGCAGGAAGCCAGTATCAAGTGAAGCAAATAGTTAGAAGCTGAAAGGCACATGATTCATCCAGTTATTTATTTATTTGTTTGTGTATTGATATGTGGGGTACAAGTGAGGGTTAACTACATAAGTAGGCCACATGCAGGTGAAGTTTGGGCTTCCAACTTGCCCTCACTCCCCTGGTAGTAGAATAGGTACCCTTTTTGTTATGTGCCCCCGCCTTCCTCCCTCCCTCTCTCCTTCCCTCCCTCCTTCCCTGCCCCCCTCTTCCCTCCCCTAGCGGTGCCCAGCAACTGCTAACCTCTCTCTTGTGCTAATATGATTAGTGTTCCGGGCCCAATTATGAGTGAGAAAATGCGGTATTCAGTTCTTTGTTTCTGTAGTAGTTCACTTAGTGTGATGGTCTCCAACTTCATCGAGTTTGCTATAAAGTTTATGATTTTGTTCTCCTTTTGGCTACATAATACTTCATCATGTATATTTACCACATTTTCTCTATCAGTCCACTTTTCGATGGGCAGCAGGGTTGGTTCCATGTTTTTGCTACTGTGAATAGTGCAGCAATAAGCGTGTGTGAGCAGGTATCTTTTTTGTATAGCAATTTATGTTTCTCCAGATATATTCCCAGGAGAGGGATTGCTGGATCATATGAAAGATCAATTTTTAGTTCTTTTTTAGGAATTGCCACACTGTTTCCCATAGAGATTGAATTAACTTGTACTCCCGCCAGCAGTGTGGAAGTGTTCCCTTTTCTGTGCACTCCTGCCAGCATCTGTTATTTTTTAACTTATTAATGATAGCCATCCTTACCAGAGTTAAGTGGTATCTCACTATAGTTTGATTTACATTTCTCTAATGATTTGTGAGGCTGAGCATTTTTTCATATGTCTGTTGGCTGCGTGCGTGTCATCTTTTGAGAAATGTCTGTTCATATCCTTTACCCACTTGTTAATGGGATTGTTTTTTCTTTTTCTTTCACTTCGTTTTAGTTCCTTATAGATCCTGAATATTGGGGTACAGTTAAGGGTTAGGTATACAGATACGCTTCATTCAGGCACCCTATTGATAAGAGGTGCTTCCCCATCCCCAGACAGATATTTGCTCGATAATCCCATCTTCCCCCGCCCCCTGTAGTTTCCCACTACTGTCGGTCATTTTCTTATAGTATTAGGTTGGATGTTCAAGGTCCATTATATGAGTGAGAACATGTGATACTCGGACTTGAGTTGATTTTTGTATATGATGATAGGTAGGAATCCAGTTTTATTCTTCTGCATGTAGTTAGCCAGTTTTCCCAGCACTATTTGCTGAATATGGTCTCCCTTCTTCAATGATTGTTACTGGTGGCTTTGTCAAAGATGAGTTGATTAAGAAACCGTGTTTTTGCTTCCTGACTCTCTGTCCTGTTTAAATACATTAATATTTAAAATACCTTTTCATGACCCTGGGAGTTACTTTAGCCTTGGTCAGTGTATTCAGAGGCTGTTTGCATTTTTAAGTACCTAATATGTCATTTCTCTAAATTATCCTTTGAACAGATGGTTGTTTTTGTTTGTTTTCACTCTAAAAGTAAGGAATATTTGAGCATATGATTAAGGTCAAGGTTGCTGTGATTTCCTAACATGAATAGACTATAATGCCTCTGGCTGAGAGGATAAATTATGGTTATTCATTTATGTGTTGTTCAACATTTATCAAAAAGCTACTATGTGCCAGGCAGTTGCAGAATACAAGGATGAATTACATAGTTTATTCAAGAATTTCTATAAGAGAAGGAAAAATCATGCCACACCTTTGACTTAGTAGGTTCTAGTCATGGATGTTTACAGTTTATTCTGAATCCTAGGAGGAGATTACATTTCTATAGAACTTCTGCCATTGGGAGCCATGATACTTCTGCAGATAGTTATTATGATAGAAAGAAGTGGTTTCAATACAGGAAAAAAATACACACACACACACACACACACACACACAAGAGAAAGCATTTTTTGTATTTTCAAAATGAGGAAAGGGGTAAATGTTCCAGGAAGTGGGAGAAAGTATTGGGTACATTGTATCTTTAAAGTAAGAAACTGCACAAATATTTCAAAATAACTAGAGATATTGTTCATATTTGCACTAAGTCCACCTAATATCTTCAGTCTATTTTAGTGATTTACTAATTATTTTAACTGAGGCAATCTTATTTGTCACCCTGAAATGAAAATTTTATTACCTCAACTTTTTCTAAATTTAAGAAACTAGAGTTTTTTCTCATTGAATCCTTTCTCTGGTTTGTGAATTCTTCTCAGAATATTTTTTTACCTTCCTTTTGATTTGCCTGAATATTTATTTAATTTATCAAATTAGACCTAGATTAAATTCCAGGCCTCAAATAACATGTCTGTATTTTTTAAGAAATATGTCCATTTCCTATAAATTTTCTAATTTATTAGTATGGTGTTGTTCACCATACTCCCTAGTTATTCTTTTAATGATTATGGAATCTGTAATGGTATCTACTTAATTCCTAGTATTGGTAATTTGTATTCCTTCTCTTTTTCTCTTGATCAGGTGAGTGATTTATCAATTTTGTCAGTATTTTCAAAAAAACAACTTTTGATTTTGTGCTTTTCTGTATGGTTTTTGTGTTTTCTGGTTATTTGATTTTTACCCTCATTTATTTCTTTCTGCTTAATTTTAAGCTTACACCGCCTTTCCCCCCCCCAAGCCTCTTACAATAGTCATTGATCTGAAAATTTTCTTCTTTTTGTTTAAAGCTATGCATTTCTGTTTAAGTACTGCTATAGCGGTATTCCACAAATTTTGATGTATTGTATTTTCATTATCTTTCAGTTTGAAATATTTTATATTTTCCCAGATTTCCTTTTTGATTCATTGATTATTTATAAGTGTGTGTTTTTTTTAATTTCCAAGTATTTGGGTTTGTATGAGTGTTTTTTAATGTATCTTATTGCTATTGATTTATAATTTAAATTTATTGTGACTGATTTTATGGGCCAACATATGGTTTATCTAGGTAAGCATACAATGTGTCCTCAATGTATGTGTTTCACAGTTGTTGAGTATAGTGTTCTGTAAATGTCAATTTGGTCAAGTTGGCTAATAGTGTCTTTCACATAGTTTATATCACTACAGACTCTTTTTGTTAATCCAGTCATTTTTAGCGGTTGTTGAGAGGGAATTGTTAAACTCTCCAACTATAATATAGAATTATTTGTTTCCCTTTAATTTTGTCATTTTTAGTTTTATGTATTTTGAAATTCTATGCACATTTCTGATTATTAGGTCTTCTTGATGAATTGATACTTTTATCATTATGAAATGTCACTCTTTATTGTTGGTAATACTTTCTTTGTTTTGTTTTTTTGTTTGAGTCAGAGTTTCACTCTGTCGCTCATGGCCACCACAGCCTCCACCTGCTGGGCTCAAGCAATCCTTCTGCCTCAGCCTTCCAAGTAGCTGGAGCCGCAGCAAACACTACCATACCCAGCTAATTTTATTTATTTATTGTAGAGAATAAATAAAATTGCCCAAGCTGATCTCAAAACCCTGGAGTCAGACAGTCCTCTTGCTTCTGCCTCCCAGAATGCTGGAATTATAGGCATGAGCCACACACCCAACTACCTTTGATATACTCTTTAGCTTAAAGTCTACTTTATGTGATATTAACATAACAACTTCATCCTTTCTACGCTTTATGTGTATGTTATATCTTTTCCCCCATCCATTTACTTTACTTTTTTTAATTATTATTATTGGATGTGGGGTAAAATTCAGAGTGAGGTATACAAATTCAGGCTTAGGTATATAGTCATTTACTTTAAATCTATCTCTGTCTTTGTATTTAAAAGACATTCTTTGGAGACACAATGTGAGACTCCAACTGGGTCTTGTTTTTTTACTCATTATCATAATCTCTGCCTTTTAATTGAAGTATTTACTCTGTTAGCAACTAACATAGTTTTTGGTTATGTTGGGTTTAGAGATGCTTTTTTTTCCATTTGGTTTCTGTTTTTTCTGATTTTTGTTCCTCTGCTCTGTGTTCCTGCCGCCTTTGGGATTAATTTAATCAAGTCAATTTAAAGAATTCTAGTTTATCTGGTTTTTAAGCTATACCTCTTTGCATTATTTTTACAGTATTTGCTATAGGAATTACAACTTACTTTTAAAAAATAATATCATACTTTTAAAAATACATTTAATTTTATTAAAAATTGCCAAATGTTTTCTATAGTTCCCATACCATTTTTTAAAATGGACACATTACTACATATTTATGGGGTATGTGTGATATTTTGACACATGTATACCATGTATAGTGATCAAATCAGGGTAATTAGCATATTCATTGCCTCAAACATCATTTCTTTTGTTAGTAACATCCAAAATCCTCTCACCTAGCTATTTTGAAATGTACAATAAATTATTAACTTTAGTTACCCTGCGGTGTTATAGAACACTAGAATTTATTCTTTCTAACTGTAATTTTTTATTCATTTGTAATTCTCTCCCTATCTCCCCTTCCCCATATCCTTCCCAGTCTTTGATAACCACTTATTCTACTGTAATTCTATGGTATCAACTTTCTTATCTCCAATAATTGAGTGATACTTGTTTTTGTGTGCCTGGCATATTTCACTTAATATAATGTCCTCCAGACTCATCCACGTTTCTGCAAAGACAGGAATTCATTATTTCTTATGGCTGAATAATATTCCATTGTGATTATATATCACATTTTCTTTATCCACTTATCTAATAGGCATTTAGGTGATTCTATATCATAGCTACTGTGAATAGGGCTGCAATAAACATGGTAGTGCAGGTATCTCTTTGACATACTGACTTTCTTTCCTTTAGATATATACCTAGTAATAGGATTGCTGGATCATATGGTAGTTCTATCTTTAGTTTTTTGAGGGACCTCCATACTGTTTCTCGTAATGGCTGTAT